TTTTTTTTTTTTTTTTTTTTTATTCCCTGAATGCTTTCAAAAATTGCGAGCTTAAACTGTTGAATTAGCCCAACATTGCACTTGCTTATTTAACGCAAACTATTTGCTCCATATCCTTATCATATTTTATTTTTCTCTGTGTCCTTTATGCCCAATTTTGATTGTGCTCTTCATCAAGTTTTTTTCATCTTATTGCTGCTCATTCCGCATGATGCACTTTAGAAATTAAATTAAATTAAACTAAACTACCGTGTTTTCAGTCAACCAACGATGTGCAAAAAGGGAATAGAGGACGGGCAATCTCTTCGCGTAGTAGCAGCAGCGGAAGCGGCAGTAGCATGGGGCCACAATCGTTGCCGTTAAATCGTGTAAACGTTGAAAAGAGTTCATCGTCGGCTGCTAAAAGCAAGTTAATTCATCCAAGAACCGGAACCAGAAGCCACAGTTTTATGAGACCGACCGCCGCAAGTGTGAATAAAGGTTCCATCCCTAATCTACCAAGAAGTATCAAAAATTTGGTTAAATAATGACACTGTGAAAAATGTTGATCGACATACCCACGTATATTAATAACTGTTGGCAATATTGTATATACTACTTGTCAGAGTTTTCGTAATGTTAAGTGGTTCCTTTTGACACGAAACCACAAAGAGATAACATTTTAAGCTCGTGTCGTGTCAGTCAGATGTTTCAGATAGCATTATCATATTTCAATATTGAGGGAAGAATTGAAAAGTAGTAAAAGTTTTCACTTAATATTTATGATATAGCTTTATACTACAATTAGTACAATTGTTGAAAATTCAAAGAAACGAAGACTATTGTAAAGTAATCTATACATATATGGCCAACCATTGAATGGAAATACAATATATATGGCATTACGCTTCGCAGAAGTCTCTGCATCATGAAAACTGTATTTGCTGGTATGTAAGTAAATGTTCATTAAATGTAAATTCGTATCGCGTGAAATCGTTCGTAATTTGAGTGTCGAATAATTGTCATAATTGTCGAATTATGAACAACGAAATAATGCAGGAAATAACTTATATCGTCTGTATCGATCATCTACATTATTAGCTAATTGTACGGAATAATTATTCTCAGTCTTTTTGAATGCAATTACACGAACATGTACCATAGGAGATCACTAATAATTAATTTGACTCGCGCAATACACGCGCGGGTGTCATTGATAACAAAAAATAAATAAATATTATGTAACTCTATTCAGAGAAGATTTTTAATACCGAAACAGAACGGCAACGTCATTCACATCGTGTTCGAGATCGCCTTATTCTTGTTGAAGATCCACGAAAATGTAAAGGAAATTCAAACAGCTAACGTAATGCAAGAATAAGACGATTTCAAAATCAACGCGCACACAATTAAACATAAGGAAATATTACGATAAATATCCGGAATTGAAGAAACAAGAATTACTTACAGCATTAAATCATTTCATGATCGGCAATGAAAGAATTATAAAAGATTTCGGTAATGTTTAAACATCAGTTTGTTATATCTTCTTACGAACGATCACGGAAGCCAAAAGAGACCGGTCCTTTCGGCGCGAGAATAAATTCAAATTGTAACTCAAGTTCTTCGTCTACGATGATCTCAAATTCCCGTACGATCTACGAAAAGAAAAAGAAAAAAAAAGAATCCGACGATTAAACGTCGCAGTATCAAACACGTTTACATTTCAAAATAACACATGACAAAACAAACCTTTGCCAAAATAAGCTGCAACGCGAGATCCACAAATCGCTTGCCTGGACATATCCTTCTTCCAGTTCCGAAAGGCGCGACCAATAACGGCGAATGAGGACTAATAGGAGTCAGCCATCTTTCGGGCAGGTATTTGTTGGGAGCTTTGAAATTCTCTTTATCCAAACCTGCTATCCAAGTGTGTAAAAGCACCGTAGTCTAGAAGAGAAGCATTAAACGATGATGATTCTCAATAAGAAAGGAGAAGGAAAGAAAAGAGATAATTTGTGATTAACACTATAACTATTACACTTACTCCTGTAGTAAGATGATAACCACTGAGTTCGATGGATTCGTCCAAAATGCGAGCGATACAAGTTGTCGTTGGAATCATTCTAAATAATATAATGAAGCCACGAATTTAAAACGTGTTAGAATGTCTTTGGAAATGAAGCGCAAATTTACGAAATTTACCTGTACGATTCGGTGATGCACGCGCGAAGATACTTCGCTTGCCGTAAATCCTCGATCGTTAAATCGCAGCCAGACGGTGCCAATGAATACGCCTCTTTATAAAGTTTAGCTTGTACGTCTGGATTGCGCGCGATCAAGTCGAACAAGAATACCAAAGTGTTCCCTAGCTGTTGCACAGAGTTGTGAGAAGGTAAGTATGTAAAAATAAGAACAAAAGCTGCAAAGCTAAAAAAAATCGCATAACATGTTCTTACCGTGTGTATACCAGCTGCTATAAAATCAACGATAGCCGCCTTCTTGTCGCGTATATCAAGACTCTTTTGCCTTAAAATAGATTGAAAAACAGCCTCAACCAATTCGTCCTTAGCATCGTTCCGCTTCTCCAATATAGTGGCTTCAACGATTTCCGAGATAATACTGAAAACAGATAATTTGCATTGAGAACGAATTGAATTTTTAATTTACAGTGGACTTTCTCTTATCGGTTTCACTTTTCCCGGTCAATGATCGTCGTCTATCTAGAAATAGATTATGACTTTTCTATAACAACAATGGACTTTGACATGAAGCAATCGATAACTTATTAATAACCAGATTTTACATCTAAGCATTGGTGTTAAGCAATTTTTAATGGCCTTTGAAATCATTAATATATCAATCTGCCAAACTATCAAACTATGAATATCTTGATGCTGCAAGTAATTTAATAGAAGTATGAACAATGAATTTAAAATTTCGAATCAAGGGCAAACGTGAAATTTTATGTAAAATCTGCGTTTAGCTATAAATAAATAGGAGGAGTCTAGCGTATTCGCTTTGAACATACTTGTATATCACATCTTCGCTCTCTATCAGTTGCTTGTACGCGGAAGTTGGTAACAATTTCCACAGCGGTAGTCCGTAAAAGGCGTCCCGCGAGGCGGTAAAGTGTATCCTGACAGCTTCCGCTAATCTCGTGGCGAGTTCGCTGCTGGAATCTGGCTTTAGAAAACCCAAATGTCGGCCCAAGATCAAAGTGCAGGTACCTAGATGAGAATGGAATGCTCTGTTAGAAGTAAGCGCGATAATCGATATCACACAGAATAAATAGATCTTACTTTCGAGTCCCATTTTGTAAGCAAGCTCCTCGAAACCTGTCACTTTACATCCCGTTCTTCGTCGACGAATCAACTCGATGAACGAATCCGCGACGACATTCAGGGCCGGGAAGAAACCAAGGACAGTGCTAGCGCCCGTCAGTTCTGACGTAAGAGCTACTCGAAGATTGTGCCACGTTTCTCCCTGCCTACCGAATTATACGTTCGTTTAAATTAATGGCGTGCTTCTCGTTCCTCCATACAAATGTAGTACTTTAATTTTTACTACTTTAACCCTATTAGTTTGAGAATTCTATTGTCTTTCCAACGTCTGTCCAACGACGTTCTTATTCCTTCAAGAACTTTCACATTCTCCCAAAGAACACGCTGTTCAAATTATCGTATCTGCTTGGCCAAGGTCTGGTATCAAAACTGAGGAATTCAATGCACGTTCTCTTCGGAGAATGTAAAATTAAAAAGGTAAGGAGAAAATAGATCGTAAAAAAAAAAAAAAAAAAAAAACACGTTGAATGATGCTGAACGTTTCTACGGAGGAATTTTACCGTAAAATTTCCCTTCTCTATTGTGAAATTACGCGTATGAGATATGAGCACACGCGCATGGAAAAGAAATGTGCTTACTCATTGACCAAACCAAGATTTGTGTAACGATCCCGACGAGTCTGCCGATAATAGGATATGACCTCCTGCGGAGGACGAAGCGGATACTTGGAGTTTCGGCGAAGAACAGCTTCAATGTCCTGACGCGAGAACACAGAGATCACAGGGAAATTCCACAATGCTTCCTCTTTGCACAACGCTCCGTATCGTCGGTGCAAATCTATTCTTGAATGAGAAACAATCAGTTGTTATGTTGGAATGCATAACGTACCCGATTTGGTTATTCGATCCATAAAATTCCAAAGAAAACCGACGTCGCGTGTAGATCAGGACCAAATTTCTTACCTCTGTAAGCATCGTGAATCTCGTTCAATTTGTAGGAACCGATATACGAAAAAATCCATCTAGTTCCAAAAATCGGCAAAGGATACGGTCCTGGTACATTGGATACTGTTTTTTGACATTTTTTATCATGCTTTTCCTCACTGGCTGGTACTGTGAACACAACATGGTATGTCTCGAGTTAAATATATTCTGATGTTATTAATTCCTTCTTATGGATGTCTAGATGATTTATGAAAGTTAACTTCAATTTTTTTTAATGGAATCGTATGTTCAATCATTGAGCGACACATCATTTTCTATGAGAAGATATTAATCCGAAAATTATTAATTCAAGAGATATTTTAATTTCAATTTTGCGTAAAAAATACAACAAACGTTCAAATGCTTATCTTTCGTATGAAGTGTTATTAAATGTTATAAATTTAAATGACCAAGGAATATTCCAAGTGAGGGAATAGTAATATTCAAGAACGGAGTGAAGAATTTTAAAAGTCCTAACGAACGAATTGCTTGAGAGGCTGGAAGCTTGTAGTGTTCTAAGCAATAATTTCTCAAGCATAAATGTAAGAACATGATGGTTTCCAAGGTTGAAGGCGAGGTGTGAAGGTCGCGCCGAATCGTGAGATTCGAGCTTAGAGAGTTTCCAAGGTTGAAGAACACGCGAGGTGTCAAGGTCGCGCCGAATCGTGAGATACGAGCTTAGAGAGGCACATCATTTCAAATTGAAGGCCGCCTGTACACGAAGCATCATTTTCCTTCCAACTTTTCTCCTGAATTCGCACGCAATTATTTGAACAATATTACATCGTTGCGTCAAGAAAACGCGCATTATTCTGTGTTATATAGTTATACAAGTTATAACCGCGCGTGCAAGTGTTATACGTGCCTGCTCTTCCTATTTTTCCTATTTGATTAGCGCCATCCGTGAGCGTAGTAATTTATTTTCATATACAGTGGAACTTGTTGCAGGATAATCAGTTTCTACGTACATTTGAAGTTCATACAATAAGAAGACTCAGCGATTCCCTCTTTTGTTAGTAATTTTTCATTCAGATAATAGGATTTAAATAAGTACATTCAACTAACAAGAGTCCGTTTAATCGAGCAAACGACTGAATTTTCATTCCAATAAGTAGCGTCCATAAAAATGAAGTTCCATTGTAATGTGAAAACCTGTAATGATTTTTGATTCCAAAAACAGCTTCGGAAACTTACCCTTGGTTTTGTGAGAGGTACCGGTCCAGAACCACCAAGCTGGCCGATAACTAGTGGCAAAGATCAATATCGTCAGAAGAGCCGCCGCGATTATTTCGAACCAAGCGCTTGACAGTAACATCTCGAAGCTCCTACGAAAAATAGAAAGAAAACCGCTCACTCACGAATCACTGTTGCTCCGATCACTCCGTTCCAACGGAAGGCTGGATCTTTATCTTGTTATCGTTGCGAAATACCGATCTTTAAGCGAAAAGTACACATTGCGTACCACGATCTTCAACTTGGACACGAGTCAACGCGACGCGAAATGATTATTTTCACAGACGTTCGTTATCACAGACGATAAAGGGATATACCGAGAAAGAGAGAGAGAGAGAGAGAAAGAGAGCACAAACTCAACACCGCACATACCAGACAATTACTTCTATAGTTTCATGTAACAGTATGATCGGTTGTTGGTAGGAATGATCGAGTCGTTTCAAAAAAGAAAAAAAAAAAAAAAAAAAAAAAA